CTTATTGCTTAGAATTGCACTGGCTATTTGAACTCATTTATGGTTCCATATGAATTTTAAAATAATTTTTTTCTAGTTGTGTGAAGAATGTCATTGGTAGTTTGATAGGAACAGCACTGAATCTTTAAATCACTCTGAGCAGTATGACCATTTTACTGTTTTATTGTGATTCTTAGCTTCTTTGGCTTGGGTTTCTATGTATTCCTGCATCTCAATGACCTTTGTTTTTATCCATATTTTGAATTCTATTTCTGTCATTTCAGCCACCTCAGCCCAGTTAAGAACTCTTGGTGGAGAGCTAGTGTGGTTGTTTTGAGAAAAGACAGCACTTCGGCTTCTTGAGTTATCAGGGTTATTGTGCTAGTTCTTTCTCATCTTTGTGGGCTAATGTTTTATCCATCTTTGACATTTCTGTCCTTCAAATTTTTTTTTGCTTTGATTTTATTTGATGACCTTGAGGGTTTGATTGTTGTAAGGTGGGTTTGGTTCACTGACTTCATTAATGGCAGATTTTAGGGGGCCAAGGCTTAGCTCCTGACTTTTCACTACTGTGTTCTTTAATGTTGAGGGGCTTGTATCAGGCCCCAACTTTGTTCTCTGGCTCCTTGACCTTAGGAACCCACTGTGCTGCATCAACTAGTGTTCCCAGACCACTGATCACTACATTCCATGAGTGGTGCCAGCCAATGTGTTTCGTAGCGTGGTGGCAATGGGATCCATCCAGGCAGGGTGCATACTTATCATCAGTTGCAACAGGATGCTAGTGGGTTCTGGGGTTGTCTGCCTTCATGCAGTCATTCACAGCAGCATTGCTCAGGGGTCAGAGGGCCCCTGCTGGTGACTGTGTGCATGGTCTTGCCGGTGGTTGTGTTAGTACAAGGATGGGATGCTAATGTGGTGGTTGCAGGTCTGTGTGTTTATCCAGGTGAGGGTGGCCACTCAGGGTGGGGGAGTGTGTGCTGTTCTCCATGCCTAGTTTCACTCCTGTGGCAGTGTTGGCACTGGGGCAGGGCACTGACAAGGGTGGGGCTGGCAAGCTTTGCCTGCCAAGGCTCTTACTGCCATGGTGGTCAGTGGGGTGAGGGAGGTGGAGTACATTGACACCAGCAGCACAGGCAGTGCAGGGTAAGGGGGCATGTGCCCACATGCACTGGCAGGGAAAGAAAGGCTAAATCTGCCCGCACTCGCAGGTACCTGCAAAGTGATGTGGGGTGTGTCTGTGGACCTTGGGGAAGCTGCAGTTGAAGGAGGGAGCTGGTAGGCTTGTGTGTGGTCTCCAGGATGCCTCACTGGAGCACTCCACCTATGCACAAGATGTGGTCCAGCAGTGCAGGAGCTGTGATGCAGGCCCCAAGGCACCTGAGGCTGCACTGCAAGCAGGTGCACCCAGGCTGGGGCCCTGGGAAAGGTCAGCAGACCAAGGGATGCTTGGGTCAGACTGGCCCCATCTGATGGGAAAGACTGCCTTGCAGAGTTTAGGTCCTACATTTCCCTTAGGGCTAAAGAATCCTATGAGAGCAAGTCGAACCTAGTGGGATGGACACCCCGGGCCATGCCCCACAGCAGACACTCTCATACCAAACCCTCTGGGCTCCACACTGGCTGACTGCCGCCCCTACCACTTCTCTAAGCAGCTCTCCCTGCCAACTCAAGTATCTGAGGTGGTTAAGTGGTGCCATCCGATGTGTTTTGTAGGGTGGTGGCAGTGAGATCCATCCATGCAGGGTGCATGTTCATCATCAGTTGCTACAGGGTGCTAATGGGTGCTGGGGTGCCAGCCTTCATGCACCTCATCAAAATCCTGGCACCATGAAATCTTGCCAGGATTCCAGAGGTTCATGACGATTGTTGGTTGCTTCTTGCTAGTTCAACTCACCTGGTCCCCTGGAGTCACTGGGTCCCAGGAAATGAGTCCCTGGTGCATGGTAGCCCTGTGCAGTGTTCCCAGCTTCCTCCACCTGTAGCCCAGCTTCTGTGTCTTCCCTTCATCCACTCTCAGTGCCTTCCCCCTAAAGATCTGTTAGGAGTGTGTTAGTCGTCCTGGTCCCTCCGTGGCAGCTGTTCCATCTGGCTGCATCTAGTCGGTCATCTTGCAAAATCACAGCAATTATTCTTTATTTAAAATTGCACATCACTCGTTAATTGTATTCCTGTTTTATCTTTGATGTAATTTTAAAGAGGCTTTCTCTAGCATTAATTATACTTTCCAACAGACTAGGTTTATATATATAGGAGTAATCAAGTCATGTATGTTAACTTTATATTCTATTAAAGTCCTATATTCTTTCACCATTTAAGTTCATTTTAAATGATTCCTCATATCTCCCTGTTGCACTGTAATAGTATCTGCAAACAGATGCAATTAGCAATTTTATTTTTTTTCTTTTTTATGCCTCTAGTTGAATTATATTGTTTAATACACTGGCTAATAGCTAAACAATAGTAAGTAACACTAGAGATATGAACATCCTTGCTTTTTTTTCTATTTAGCAAAAATGCTTCTAGTAAGGTGCTGACATAAGAAGATATGTGTGTGTGTGTGTGAGAGAGACTATCTGTATGTGTGTGACTGGAAATCGTTAAGTAAATGACATAAGAAGAGATACATGTGTGTGTGAGACTATCTGTATGTATGTGACTGGAAATTAAGTAAATGCTGTATTCTTAAATATTTTTGTTTGAAAGTTATATTTAGTTTTTCAAATGCTTTTACAGCCCTTATAAAGATAATTATATAATTTTTTCTTAGCAACTATTAATATGTAATAATGAATGAATTTCTAGTATTGAATCAAACTTTAACGATGGTAAATCCCATGTGGACATCGCTTACTTATAAAACATTTATTTTTGATTCTGTTCAATAATATTTTATTTGTTAACATTTGTGATATCAGCCTGCAAATTTACTGTCATGTATTCTTTTTATCAAGTTTAGGTATGTATATTTTACTTGCTTCATTAAAACATGAACATTTCCTTGGATTTTTGTATTCTCTGTATAACATAGAGGGCTGTCTAATTTTGAGAGTTGAACTTTTTTGAAATCCATTGGGACTTTGTTATTTTCTGTGTGGTTTTTCTCTTAATAAATGTTGGAACATTTGTTAAGAGAAAGAAACTAGTCTTTGCAAGTTTTTTACATCTCAGGGGGTTAAGTTGGACAGATTGTGTTTTTGTAAAAGCTTGTTTCTTTCTTTTAGAATTTCAAGTTTATTTGTAATGAGTTATGCAAATTAGTCTTTTGTATTATTTCAATTTTCTGCATTTCAATGACTGTTCCTATTATACACTGCATTGTTATGTCTCTCACATTTTTCTTAATTATATTAGTTTCTTTATTTTGTTATTTTTTCAAAAACCCTGGATTATCAACTACACTTAATGAAATCTACTGTATTCAATTGTGGCTTTATTTTGTAGTTATCTTTATGCCCTCTGTTTTTTCATTATTCATTTCTAGCTTTTTAATGGCAATTTTAATTCTATTTTTATTCTGTTCATTTTTGTTGATACACGTGTTTAATGCTATGAGGTTTCTTTTTTGTTCACTGCTTAAAATGCATCAAATTGATTCTAATAAAGATCATTATCATTTTCATTATATTTTGTGAATAATCTAATTTTATCACTTTTTGAAAAATTCCAAGTATTGTTTATAATATTTTTATTTATTTCTCGGTGTGATGGACTTTTTCATGTTGATACTAATTTTTAATATTATGTAATTGTGATTAGAATTTTGCTTATATTACACTTACCCAGTGGAGCTTACTGATTTTTTTTGTGATCTAATATAGAACAATTTTTGTGTACATCCAATGTGTACCTGAGAAGATGTATGCTTATTATCAGAGTATATCACTTGATATATTCATAAAACTACTTATGATTATATGTTTAAATCTGTATTCTAATCTGTTATTTATGCACTGATCTGTCTTTCACCATAGGTGGAATGTTGAAATCTCTTATTACTATTCTGTTTTTATCTATTTCTGTCATCTTTTTTAGTTTTTGTTTCATAGATATGCCTTCTTAGCTTTGTAATAGATATTCAGAACTGTCCTATTTTTTTTGTGAATTGTAGCTTCTACCATTACAAAGTATCATTTCATGTCATATTTAATGACATTTGACTTGAACTATACTTTCTTTGATACTGGAAGAACAGTACATGATTTCTAATTTTATCCTTATGCTTGGCATACATTTGCATATTTTTCTATTTGTAAGCTTTTCATTCACTTAGAGTTGGGTGCATATTACATATATAGCGTACAGTGGGTCTTGCGATGTGTGTCAAATTGAAAATCTATTTAATTTAATTAGTGAGTATGTTCCACTCATGCCTATTAAGATAACAGATACATGTAGTCTCAATAATGTTATATAACGTATTGTTAAAATCACTATGTTTATTATGCTATGTTATTGTTATCTCTAGCCTATGTGATTTCTTTGTTTTGGTGCTCTATACATCCTTCCACATTTAGAAAAGTTTCATTTTACTTTTTAAATTAAAGCACTTCTTTGTTTTTAAAAATATTTATTTATTTATTTATTTATTTATTTATTTATTTATTATGTCTGATTTGTCTGGGTTTCATGGAAATACTTCCCCTTTACCTATTCCCTATAGAAAAGCAGCAACCTCTTTATAATCTATCTTTCTTTTCTTATTTGGGTAAATTTCATGTTTTAAAATTTTTAGAACGTATAAAATTTTCTACATTCTTCTACATCTTACCTATGTTTTATATTAAATAAAAATAAATATGTTAAATACTTTACAATCGTTCCTTTGACAAACATTGTCCAATAATCTCTCATTTGGCTAAAGTGCATTCATTACTAAAATGCTAAAATAAGGCTTAATATTCACTTACTACACGTTTTCTTTTGCCTGAATGTTTATTGAATCCTATCCTTCATTGGGCATCTTTCAATTTAATATTTATTTCTGAAATATGTTTGCATTAACTTTGATTTTGTTCTATTTTCAATCAAGTGTTATTTCACACATTTTTGAAGATACCAATTTTTGTTCTGGAGTTCGACTTTAGATACAAGGGGTTTGTTTTCACATCTGCAAATGATTTCTGGAGATTATTTAATTGATTTTGTTTTAGGTGTTTCATTAAATTATCATTTTACTGTGATTTTCTATTTCCAAGGCCAGGAAGTTTCAGGTGAAGCTGTGTGATTCCCAATTTTGCTGCTTATTTGTTTCCTTCTTATAAGAGTTGTATGTATTTTTATATGAAGACGGCATTTTTTTCTTACATTTTTGTAGAAACAGTAGCTGTCAGTGTGGCTTGGTTTACAAGGTTCATATTGAAAGAGTGTCCTTTTCAGTCACTAAAGCAAATTGTAGTTACTTCACTGGAGTAATGCGAGGGGTCTGTGTGTGTGTGTGTGTGTGTGTGTGTATGTGTGTGTGGTGTTATCCTTTTACTCTAGTTCTCTATTGTATTGCATTTATTCTAAAGGTCCTCTATGTGCTTCGTTTTACTTTTTCCACACTGTTTCTGAAGGATGCCTTTCTCTGCTCTCTGTACTCCCCCTCCTTTTTTTTTCTTTTTACTTTTCCTCATGGAGAGGTGATGCCTTTCTGAGACCTCCATTTTGAATCTCATTTACTTTTAATATATTTCATGCTAAACATGTTCTTGCCTACCAAGTCTCTTTTATATTTTTTAGTATGAATTATAGACTTTCCCCAGATTTTACCTGAATTGTGTTTTCAGTTTCCCACTTCTCTCTTTCGTGGTTTTTGTAGGTTTTCGTTTTTCTTTCTGTGGCCTTCATTCAAGCTCATTCCTTCACCTTCTGTTCTCTATAAGAAGCTTGCTTGCACTAGGACGTTAAGTAATGACTCTTCCAAAATTTGATGCTCATTTTTATATGTACAGTTAATGGGAAGTGAGTAATTTTATTCTGTCTTCAAATTATGTCAAATACAAGTGATTTATGCAATTTTATTTGTTTTTCTTGATACTTAATATAGGTCTGGAGGACTCATAGAGAGATTTAGGTGGTCCTCATTACCTCTGGGCAGCTTGGAAGTTAAGTGAATTTGATTTTATTTACATTTATACTATCAGTATACATTTTTATGAATAAATTTACTGTGATATATTTATATATCATAATTAACCCAATTAAAATAAATAATTTATTGTCTTAAAAATTTATTTATCAAATAGTAAAATTGTCACGCTAGTTCAGGTTTAGAACATTTTTGTTACTGTTATTAGATTCCAAATACTCATTTACTGTTGGTCGCCATTTTGGGACCTCTCACTCCGGGGAATTGCTAATGCAATTCCTGTATCTATGGATTTACCTTTTCTAGACGTTTCATATGAAATGGAATTGTACAATATGTGTGACTGGTTTCTCTAACATAGTATAATGTTTCAAAGATTCGTACATTTTGTAACATTAATCAGTACTTCATTTCTTTTTATCCATGAATGCCATTGACGGATGATATTGCATGTTTATTTATCCATTCATCAGTTGAAGAACATTTGATTGCTTCTACTTTTTGGCTATCACGAATAATTTAAGGGTTTCAATGCATTCTAACCACAAAAACATTATATAAGAATCCACATTTAAACCTATTGTAACAAAACAACTAACCAATGAATTCAAGGAGGTGCTCTTAAGAGTACCTTGAAAGAAAGATCAATTATCTATAAATTTATGCAATTGAATTCACTGTCAACCTTTCAATTTTACCAATGGATAAAAATGTCAGTATTAACATAGATTCAAAAATATTAAATAAAATTTTAGCACACACAATACAGCAATGTATAAAAATGTTGACAAAATATAACAAAGTTTATTTAATTTTATAAGAAAGTTTATTTTACTAAGTTTACTATTGTTAGTAAAATATATACTCAAATTAGTATATAATGATTTACCATATTAATGTGTTAAGGATGAGAAAATATATTATTTTAATAAGTAATTATATAAGCTTTCAATGAAAGTAATCTATAGTTGCAAAAATATTTTTAGAAAACCAGAAAGTTATATTTATGCATTTACATTTCAAAAACTTCTAAAATTAATTAACACATAATTTTCAGAATAACTACATATATGGTGAAAGTATTAGAAAAGCAACTGAATTATAAATTAAAAATTTTGTTTAATGTTTACTTCTGAGATGGAAGTGGAATGGATTTTGAGGAGACCCACTGATAGAGAAACAAAAGTTATGAAAATGTCAAGAATATTTTTTAGATGTGTACTCTCTGTTTATTTTTTTTGTCTCTGGATTTTGTAGCCAAACTGTGACATATACAAAGACCCAACACTTGATTACACCAGGAAATTTCCTTCTATCTGTGGATCCAGTGGTAAAACCTATGATAACTCATGCCTGTTTTGCATCGCAGAAAGGTAAGGGCACAATGGTAAATATTTTCTCTTTGTATAGAAAAAACAGTGTCAATATGCTAGGAATTACTGAGTTCCTCTCAACCTACAATCATATACACAGTAAACAGCTATTTTTTCCCACTGAAACTTGAGAAAACACTCAAACTTTACCCAAGATCCCCCTACTTCCCAAAGTAGGTTAACTTGAACTATGTACATAATGATGCTGGCTTGTTTTCAAATACTCAAATTAGTTTATCATACTTAATTTGATAAAATATCTTTTTTTATTTTTATATTATTTTTTGAGACAGTCTCCCACTCTGTTGCCCAGGCTGGAATTCACTGGCACAACTATTGTTGCTGCAGCCTCAACCTCCCAGATTTAAGCAGTTCTCCCATCTCAGCCTCCCCAGGAGCTGGGACTACAGGTGCTGCCATCACAGACAGCTAATTTTTTTTTTTCTTGGTAGAGACAAAGCTCTCACTGTATGGTATAGGCTAGTCTTGAACTGCTGGGCTCAAGAAATCTCCTAGGCCTTCCAAAGTGCTGGGATTACAGAATAGAATCTTTTATAATAACCGGAACTGGATCAATATGCTGTAAAGTGGGAGACGTAAGGGTTAAACGGTTTCCTTCTCATTCTCTCCTTCCTCAACTCAGCATGGGTCTCCGTACTGAATCAGGACTGACAAAATAGCCCCACAACAGGACAAACAATATGTGAAAGATCTGGGGAATCGCAGAGTATAGATATTGAAGAAGTAGAATCCAGGCTGTCCAACTCATGTACTTTTCAAATTCTAAGTCACTGAGAAGCATTTTGGACACCATGAGGGAATCTGACACATTTTGTTATGTTTTGTTTTGTTTTCTCTCTCCCTTTCTACAGAGAAAGTAACGGTGAAATTACTTATGACCACTGGGGCCCATGTTGACCTTTATGATCTGGTGCTATACATTCCTATGACTCCTCTTGTAATCCTTTTGTGCTGCTGGATTCTAGAGAATGCTATTACATAGTGCCTTCCTACACAAGGAGGTGAATCTGCTTTGGAAACAGGATAGACTATAAGAATTGGAATATTCTTGCAATTTCAAAATTTAATGTTAGTTCTTTGTTGATGTCCAAATATTTGATAAAGCTCTGAAAAATCAGTAGTCTAATTATATGTTTAAATGATGAAGCAGACACATTTCTCAATCATTGAATACTTTGCTGAATAAACATGTTCCATGGTATTTACTTCATTAAATTGACTTTGACTATTGTGATTGCATGATGGGATCACCAACATGTATAATACAGGCAATGTTACTTACAACAATGTTTCTTAAAACTTGCATTTAGTGTCTATAAAAAGTATAGATACTTAAGATCTGCCATGTCTTCATGAATCAGAATCTTCAGGAGAAAGATCTGGTGCCTAAAATTTATCCAGCATCCAAGGTGAGGCAAAAATGATATGACTTTTAGTCTGAAAATATGCTTAGCATTTAGAAAAATCCAGCTTTGGTGCAGAATTTGGGAAAACTGTACTGTATTTGTTGAGCTATAGGCATAGTCAATCAATATAACAGACATGAAAGAGTATGCACCTGAACTAATTTGTGATGTTACTTTATTTTTATGTACTGGGTCTAAGGTACATTGCTAACCTTGGCGTGAAGGAAGCCCTGCCATCCACAAATCAAGTCTCACGTTTTGGGGTACCATACCGGTGGTAGTCAGTTTCTCTCTACCTCTCAGACAGTGAGAATTATGCTTAATCAAAAGTCCAAATGCTCACTTAAATATTTTTTAACTCTTTGTGTTTTCCAAGGTGGTGGATTGAAGGCTTCATTAGCATGCCTCATCCACTTGGACAGAGCAAAAGATTGTGTAGAAATTCATGAATTCATGCTGTGAACTTTTAACCAAGAAGAAATATAGGAACTCAACAGAAAAAAAGAAAGGAATCACAGACTCTTGGAGAGAAATGGTGATCAGCAACCTGCACTGTGAGCCAAGTGGAAAACTGTGTCTTCAGAAAGTGAAAGTGGGGGAGACTGCCTCTGTGATACACATCTCCTATGGGGGAGCTGGGCAATCCAGGCCACAGTGGAGTGCCTTAACCCTACCCAGCACTGGAGCTGATCTGGTGAGGGGTGGAGAGTATATGAGAAGGAGCAGCATCAGGACTTGCTTTGCATGCACTCTCAGAACCCAGCAGGGATGGAAGGAAGCCATTCCTGATCCTACCTCTTACTCGACTTGGGAGATGTCTGCCAGCTAACTCAGGTGGTGGTCACAGGTTTGAACTTTCTAATGTCTCCCAATCTAGGTTTGCAATCTGATCTCAAGTGAGAACAAACTCCTTGGCCAAAACTGAGGGATGAGTGGGAAGTATGCTTTTACCACAGGTGCAGGAGCTGGGCATACCTGTTTCATAGGAAAATGTGGAGTGGCATGGCTGCAAAGCTTCGGTTTCTGTCTTTAGTAGCAAGAATTGTGGCCTGGGATAATTGTATGTTCTGAGTGTACATTGCCCTGGGACCCAGAAAACTGTTGTCAGCAGAAGTCTGTATGTGTAAGGTGTGCCTTGCCAAGGGTGTGGGAACTGGGTGGGTCTTACTACCACATGCTACCCCATCTCCCCATGCAGAAACTTATGTACAACAGAGGCAGCTGTGCTCCTCCCCAGAACATTACACCAGCAACTAGGGGACTGCCCTCTGGTTCCTATTGGGGCCGCCAATGGTGCCTGCACACGGGGAGCCCAGAGTATGGACTTGCTTGACCCAACCCCTATCCATGTTTTTTCCTCCACCTCCTCTGGTAGAATAACAAAACAAAAAGATATTTGCCAATTCCATGGCCCTGCCCATTGCCTGAGACATCTGAGTATCTCTCCTAGGTAACATAAGCAAAGCACAAATCCCACAACCACCAACACAGCTTACTCTGTCCTGCAAGTGTCACCTCCTGGCTGGAGACCAACTGGCATGACCCATTAGAACATCTGCTGCCACAGTAACACAGTGCTTGTGAAGAAAAAACAACAACAGTCAAAACACTTGTGCAACTTCAGCTTACAACATTGCCCACATCATCTCAGCTAGTTAGGAGGTCATAAACCTGTCCACATGCCCTGTACATTACTACTACAGCTGGCATTTGAGAAGGCTACTGATAATGTAGGAAATCTTAGAGTCTATGTCACTCCCCTGCCATTCTCATCAGAGTTGGTGCTTCAATCTAATGCTGGGAGACCAGAGGATAGGTTAGCTTAGTCTAGCTTCACACAATATCACCCCCCTCTGGAGCTAAGAGCAGAGCCCCAGCCATTGCAAATACCAGACTTGTCCATAGCCTGAGGCACCAGAGAGCTTGAGATGGCTGACAAGAAATATCAGTGACCAATTCTTCTCAGAAAGTAGAACCAAAATTACAGGTGAATAATCATAGTGCAAATAAAGTGTTAAGGGGAGAGTGCTGGAGCCCACTGGAGAGTTCACTGGAAAAATCTGTGAGACACACACAAAAAGAAGGTAATAAGAAACTGGCAGATATCAAACTCTGAGATACTCAGAAAACCATGAACATTGTAAGTGGGAGTACTCTCAGCCTCCCTATCCCCTACAGTAGATTATTGATGTCCAAGCTCAATGAGAGCTTCTTTGCCCTCAAGAGCACAAGTATTGGACTGAGCTGTAATTTGGGGACTTCTCAAGGGCATTATCTTGTTTACACAAGGTATCTTCCTTTACCCACTGGACCTGAGCTGTGGTGACAAGCACCATACTAGTTGCACACCCATTGTGGGACTTCTTCTGTCCATAGACCTTCAACCCGGACAGACCTGTGCATCTTCACAACCTGTGTATCTTCACAACACTGGATCTCTTGTAGACAGTCCCCAGCCGAGCCTGGATTTTGGCAGCCCCAAAGGGCAACTAAACTCAGAGAAGCAGCAGAATTCACAGTAGTCTGGCCCCCAAGAACTGCCACTCCTAAAGGAAGGCAGAGTGCAGCACATCCAGGGAGCACCCAATGGGACACAAGAAACCAGATTGTAGGACTTGAGTCCCAGATCTTTCCACTTGTGGAAAGCTTCTTTGAGCAGAGGCACAGGTACAGTGCTGGGCTCAGTGGAGAAAACCTGTTATTCTACCCAACAGACAGGCAGCCACAGTACTTCTGAAGATTACTGAAAAAGGGGACTTCTTCTCCCCACCACCTTCCACCGCCAACACAGCTGAGGCTTCTCCCATGGTAGCTCAGGACAGATTTACCTGTAGACAGCTTTTCTGGACCACATTAGGGAGACTGCATCCCACAGGGGAAGTGCCCTCTGGACTCAGACTTGCATGAGGGGTAGAGTCACAATCCTTTTTTACATGGAACATCAGCATTCCTGTAGTTGGGAAGAGGTGTCTGTCTGATCTGAATAGCCAGAACACTAGGATTTGTGTGTGAGAAGGAGACAGACCCTTTTTCTGCTGGTCTGGAAGTGGAGCTAAGGAGGTTCTCTCTTTTGCCCCTATGAGGAGCTCATTGCTTTTCACTGAGAGTTCCCTTAGCCACCTCTTTCAAGGTTGGGACCTCTGCCCACCATTAGGGAATTGCTCATACCCACATAATTCAGCCACAGCCAGATTTTACTCTTGGGAAACTCGTACTGGCCTGAAGCCTGAACTGTACACTACAGTAAAATAATAATAATAATCATGATAATGGAAAAATAATTAAAAAGTGTACATTGCTACAGAACAAAATGAGATTCATGAGCCCTCTCTCATTCAAGCCCCACAGGAGACAACAAACCTGCTCACACAGCCAGCACATTGCTACCACAACCAGCATCTGAGAAAGCCGTTAACACAAAGATTCTCTATAACAAGGGAACTCATGCAGAGTCTTTGCCACTGAAAGCACCCAGAGCCAAAGCTAGGTAACCATAAAATAAACACATTAAAGTTATATGCTCACAAGGAAAAAAATTTAAAAATCAAGTTGAATTAAACATAATTCCAAGAAGAAGAAGAAGAAATGGTTGACCCAAATGAGAAAGAACCAGAAAAATAATTCTGGCAATATAAAAAAAGCAGAATTCTATAACATCCTCAAAAGATCATATTAGCTCTCCAGCAGTGTCACCTAACCACGATGAAATCTTTGAAATAGCAGTTAAAGAATTTAAAATGCTGATTATTAAGTTGCTTGGTAAGATTGCAGAAAAATCTGAAAACCAACATAAAGAAATCAAATAAAACAATTCAAAATATAAATGAAAAATTTTCCAAAGAGATAGATATTTTTAAGAAGACAGAAAGCACCCCAGAAGGAAAATTACATTTAGAAAATTACAAAATGCAGTAAAAAGTTTTTGTCAATACATTAGACCAAATAGCAGAAATAATTTCAGAGCTTGAATGCAAGCCTTTTGAATTCAACCAATCAGGGCTAATAATAATAATAATTACAAAAAAAAGGAAAAAATTAAAAAATAAAGTATCCAAGAAACATAGAATTATATAAAACATTCAAACCTAAGAAGCATATGTGTCCTAAGTTAAAAAAAAAAAAAAGGCAAAAGTTTGAAAAATTGAAAAACCTCTTTGAGGAAAAATTTCCTGATGTTCCTAGAGATTTAGACACCCAAATTGTAGAAGTTCAAAGAATTCCTGAGAGATTCATTAAAAAAAGGAAATCACCAAGGTGTATATCTTAAAGCTATCTAAAGTTGATGTGAAGGAAAAAAATTACAAGAGCACCAAAATAAAAGCATCAAATAACTTACAAAGCGAAACTTATCAGACTAACAGCTGACTTCTCAGCAGAAACCTAACAATCCAGAAAATATTAGCATCCTATCTTTAGTCTCCTCAAATAGAATAAGTGTCAACATGCCAACATACCAAGAGTTTTTCCACAGCAAACAAAATTTCATAAATAAGGGAGAAATAAAATCTTTCCCAGACTAGCAAATGCTGAGGGAATTTGTCACAACTGGATCAGCCTTCCATGAAATGCTGAAAGGAGTTCTAAATATTGAAACAAAGGTTTAATACACACTAGCATAAAGAGAAATATTCATGTATACATATTGAATATACAATAAAGTTGATATTAGATATCTTTATGTAGTGTTAAATAATTAAATATCCCTAAGTGGCAAAAATCATACCTTTAGAAATAATGAATTTATATATCTCTCATATACTTAAAAATAATTTTGATTTAATGAGTACAACAACAAACATACTAATTCTA